TTTCATTTTTTAAAAAAAAGCCCCTTCACATTTTACCTTGGTATTAATTTTTTTATTTAATTATTTTATACATATGCCCCTTTTCATATCTCGGCGAAAGGGCTTACGTTGGGTTCGCTTGGTGCATCCGCGCCGTACCGCACCCCATCCGAACACCAACCCCCACCCTCCCAAACATCGAGAGGGGTGGCAGAATCGGGCACGAGGGGTGGCAAAATCGGGCAGGAGGGGTGGCAAAATCGGGCATGGCAGAATCTGGCAGCTTCAGATCTTCAGGGGCCTCGTACCGGCCTTTTTATACACACACCCCCTGCGGGCGCCAGGGTGGGCACGCCCGCCGCGCCCCCCGTGAAACCGGGGTGGCCTACCTCCCCCCGCGGGCGCCAGGGGGGGACGCCCCAGCGCACGCCAGTGCCCCGGGAGGCCTACCTCGCCCCTGTCATTACCATTACCATTACGGGCTAGACCCGCCCTGGAGACTTCGACGCGCGGTCACCCGAAGAGTTCCGTCAATGCCGTCGCTAGTTCGGCCCCGGGGTTTCAGCACTGCGAGTACTTTTACTTCGGCTCCATCATCAGTTCGTTGGGCGCAGTCCCATGCAAACGACGGCGGGCGTAACTGGGGCTGATTCCGAGAGTTTTCCCTCGCGGCTCCGTCTCTCCTCGCACTCACGAGGGCGCGAGAGAGACAGCGTGACCGAAACGGCGCTCGGAATCAGTCCGCTGGGATAGGGCACCCCGGGCCTGTTAGCGAGGCGGCCTTATTTGCGTCACTCAAATACTTTGTAAAGGAAATCGCGCAATATTCGACGAGAAGGTCGCCGGCCAGAAGGTCGCAGTGTCAGTCTTGACCGGCTCGGCTCGGCCGGCCTCCCCTCTGCCGGGCCGAGCCGCACAGTGGGCCAGAAGACCGGTGGAGGCGGATGAAACTCTAGACGCGTTTTGACCTCCAGCGTCGCTAAACAGGACTCGAACCGAACGTGTGACCCCACCCAAGGATCCCTCTTTCGGAGAGCAATCCATTGGGGGGGTCACAGTTCTATTCGAGCGCCATTTTGTGACGCTGGAGCTCAAAACGCGTCTAGAGTTTCGCCCGCCTCCACCGGTCTTCTGGCCCACTGTGGGCCGCCCTCCGCGGAGCACCGCGGCGCACGAACGACGCGAAGGTGCAGTATACATCATGCACCCAGCAGACTGATTCCGAGAGTCGCTTTCGTCGCTCTGTCTCTCTCGCACCCGTACGGGACGCCCCGTGAGTGCGAGGGGGACAGAGCGACGAAGACGACTCTCGGAATGAGTCTACAGCGCACCCGAGCAGCCAGCACCGCGCATTTTTGAAACACACAAAGCGTGCGGGGCATTATAAAAGGTTTGCGTTTCGAAAGGGCGGCGCGGGGTATCGACACACCGAGAGAGTGGCGGCGGTGGCGGTCCGTTGGCAGTGCAGTGGGGGACGCGGAGGAGGAGCAGCAGATAAGCGGCCTAGCGCAGCGCGTGTCAACGGGTTATAGTGCGGCGCCATCTCGCGGCCGGTGGGGAAACCAGCAGACTGATTCCGAGAGTCGTTTTCGCCGCTCTGTCTCTCTCGCACTCATGAGGCGTCCTCTATAGGTGCGAGAGAGACAGAGCGACGAAAGCGACTCTCGGAATCAGTCTGCAGCCGACGCACCGAGCGGCGCCGAGGATGAGTGGACGACAGAGTGGACGGGCCACAGTGGGCCAGAAGACCGGTGGAGGCGGCCAAAGCTCTAGACGCGTTTTGAGCTCTAGAGTCGCGGATTAGGACTCGAATCGAGCGTGTGACCCCACCAATGGATTGCTCTCCGAACGAGGAATCCATTCGTGGGGTCACACGCTCGGTTCGAGTCCTGTTTAGCGACTCTGGAGCTCAAAAACGCGTCTAGAGTTTTGGCCACCTCCGCCAATCTTCTGGCCCACTGTGCGGGCGTCTTGTTGTCGTTTCGCGGTTGGCAATGCCCCGCGAGCTATTGTTGCACCGGCCGGAGAGTCTCTTCAGCGTGGAGTAGCGCCGCCCTGTCAAGAGGGAGAACTTCGGCCTCGGCCGGGTTAGAGCGGCAAACTGTTGAGCGCGCAAAGCAGCACTTCAATGAGTATTTTCCCCCGAGTTTGTAGCGGTGGCGGCGACACAGGTGGAGTCTTTCGGGTAGCCCACCTGCACTTTACACGGTCAAAGTATGGCTTTTTGTCTTCCTTTTAGGAGGCTATCTAAGAGGGGTGGTGAAAAAGCCCCCCCCCCCCCCCCCCCAACACACACACACATACCTTTTCTTGAATCTGCACCTGGATTTTCGGCAGTGCAGTGCAGCGTCGGCACCTTAGGCGTCGTTGACTGACAGCTGGCCGCACGGCCAGCGAAGATGATGATGTCAGAGACTGTCGCCCGCACGCTTCCGCCACGCACCGCGCTGCGCCACGCCCCCCGCGCCAGAAAGGAGCTTCTCTATACGCCTCGCTGTGCTTCCCTTCCCTTCCCTTCCCTTCCCTTCCCTTCCCTTCCCTTCCCTTCTCTTCCCTTTTCTTCCCCTTCAGGGCCAAGTTCAAGCCACCGCCAGCGAGGTAGTACCGTCCGTGCGAGCCGAGCAGCCGAGCCATCGCGGAGCGTCGTTCCGGCGCTCTGTCTCTGTCTCTGTCATGGGTCCAGGAGAAAGAGAGTGAGAGAGCGAGAGAGAGACAGAGAGAGACAGACAGACAGACAGACAGACAAACAGACAGACAGACTTAGACAGACAGACAGACTTCGGAAAAGCTCGGCTGCAGCGCGGTGCGACGAACCGAAGCGAATGCGACGCCAAGCAGTCAAGCACCGCGACGACAATGCGGTCGGATGAAGTCATCTCGCAAAATAAAGGGAGAGACAGAGAGAAA